ACAATCGTAGTCTGCACTTAAATTTGTGTCTTCCTTTACTGACTTGGGTGTCACGTTTTCCTCTAGTGTTCGTTGGTTTATGGCTCATCGAAACTTGCTGAACATGCATGCAAAGGAATGTTTGCTGTAAAACGTATTTTAACTAAATATAGTTGACGTACAAGTGTATTTGATTTGTTAATTGTTGAGTAATAAATATTCATGTATGGGAGTAAAGTTTGAAGGTTTAACGCAGTGGAGAATGTCGAAAAAGGCGCATCGGAACATTTTCGAATATGTTGTTCAATGCACAAAACCATGTTATTTATGGAGAATTGGGAAGACTTATTAGGTATTGGTTAAAAATTTTGCAAATTGAAACAAATCGTTATGTTTACCAGTTTTACCAGTATAAATACATCAATACAGAAAAGAATGTCAAATGTTGTTCTTTCATGGCTTTGGTCTGGTTTAGTTAAATCAAAGAGTTGACAATATATGCTATGCATTTCTGTCACGTTTAAACAGATAATTCGAGATCTGTATATTCAATCATGGGCTACAAATATTCTAAGTTGCTCAAAGCTTTACAAATACCAAGAAGTTAAGATACATTTTAGATGCGAAAAATATTTATCTCTAACCAATGACTGATGTCTATTCTATGCCAGTCGAGATCATCATCACTAAACCTTTTGGTCGGAATCGATCGGAAATGCAATAGTCCGAAAAACATCAATATATGTAAATTATGTGAAATGGAATTGGTCGAAGGGGAATTTCATTTTTTTCCTATTTTGCACTATTTAATAATTTAATATAATAATTTTTCCACAATATAATAACAAAATATTAGTAGAACAGACGGAACCGCCCCCCACATAACCACCCAACCACCTACCTATTGTTTGCTTTGCACAACCTGTCCTGTAATTCCAGAAGATGTACCTACACTTCATGCACTTTTTTTTAAATGATGCTAATTTATTCATGACGTGGTAGTTGCTGTGCTTATGAATATTCATAATTTTGTGGGTCAATACATTCTAAAAGGGCGATATATTATATATGGCGGCTAGAGTTAGAAATGGGGAATTAACAATTCTTAGTATTCCATTGCTAGAAACGACAGGCAGAGATGTGATTTGAACGCGGGTCCTCATGCTCACTATGTAGACAAGTGACACAAAACACGCCAATGGACTGACTGTTTGTGCTTGCATTTGATGAGACTATATAGTGTGTATATGTAAAGATATACTACATATTTGCATTTGAGTCACAAATGTCATTAATGTTGCCAATTTAGTGTTTTCTCTTTGTGTAAACCATATGTATGCCATAATTCGTTATTGTACATCTTGAGTCTTAACGAAGTTGGTGTTTTGCCATTTGCGTTGACCATATCTGACCCAACCCTAATTCCAAGAAACATTCCTGTTAAGAATATTAGCTCAATAATGATACTCTCTTGTGCACTGTCTGCTGGTAAGTTGGAATGATGCCAAATGAATAAACAAGTCGTGTTTAATTAATTTCCACAATTACAAATTGTTAAAAAAATGAATTAACAAATATTTGAGACTTATTTCGGTGTAAATAAGTTGCGTTTAATTGATTTCTACCATTACAACTTTTTAAATTGAGAAAAGAAATGCATTAACAAATATTTGAGATTTAATTTGGTGTAAACAAGTCGTGTTCAATTAAAGCGGAGGGGCCGTCACCTGCGCACGCGCGGGAATTGAGTGAAGGCTATTCGAAACGATCGCTTCGGGTCTAATGAGTATATATCTAGTAGGATTCGAACTCTTGGCATTTGTATTATATGGTTTTTCATTTCCCATGTTTGCTACGCCGTAATATGCGACCACTTTCCCGTTTTATTGTGACTGTGTGAGTGTTTAATGAGTGTCTTACTCACCCGTCACGCCATGACCCAGTTTCAATCACATGGACATGTTGGAACGAAGTGCGTGACCCTTGACCCATTGACTATATGATCGTTCTGTTCAACTGTTAAGCTTGAATTTATTACCGTTATTATCATTATATTGTCAGGTGATATGTTCCATCTTATTATAATGCTTTAAGTTTCTTTATTTTAACTTGCGTATACCAATTTGTATACACCGAGACATGAGCCCGGTTGAAGGTAGGTACGGCTTCTGGAATTGTGCCAAATTGCACGCCACTGAGACAATACACGCGATCTGTTCATACGTATGGTGTTCATACGTATTATTTGTACTTTCACGAGATCAGTTACTCCACAAACATGAATGGCTGACGTGTAAACTTTAATCACTTACCCCGCTCAGAGATTTCCCCCAATGTAAAATCTGTTCCATGCAGTCAATCGTACAATGGCGGTGATCCCGTTGACCTTGAAGCAATGTTCTCTACGGAGACACTATTTTATTAAGAATGAAATCGCCTACAGATGGCGCTCTTGGTCACAGGTATGTGTCACAGGTCATCAAGGGTTCATTCTGCAAGGGAATACCATTGAGGCAGGTATTTACTGTACTATCGGTATTGTATCCTACTTTTATCTCATCTTGTGTATTCA